ATGCCCACCCCTATACTCTTGTAATTTTTACATTTGTTTCCTTCTCGGACCAAAATAACATGTCTTCAACAATAGTTAATGTAATGTTCCAACCAGTGATCTAAACAATCTCAAACCACTTCTAGATAAAATATCACGCAAGTCGAAAGTCTTTCAACGATTTCTTAACTTTTGATTTTATTACCGTTTGGTCTTTTTTTTTTTTGTCGTTGAAACTTAGTTCAATTTTTACTTATAATTCAAATAACCAACCGATCACTTTGTATTCATTGGGAATGTTTGGTTTTATATATGTTTAGTGTCACTGATCAGTATAACCCCTAAATTAGTTCAGTTTGATGAATCATTTGTTTAGCGAGAGAGCAAGATATCGTACCGGGTTGAATATTGCTTCGTATACTTCTACCGAAAGGAGAAAAAAAAAAGGTAGAATGACGTTGGTGGAAAAATTAGGAGTGGAAAAGAAAGTTGAATAAATTTTTTTGTTCTATTAGTTCCTTTCCTATTTGTTAGAGGAATATTTTTTTCTAACTTTGTTCATGTTTTTAACTTTTATTGGTAAAATAAATTGAAACACTTTTTAAAACTTTTCAACTTAAATGGTAACAATTTAGAGAAATATTCAATTCCACCAAATTTTGTTGCACTCAAATGGTAAAAATTTAGAGGAATATATAATTCTATCGTTTTTATTTCTCTAATTGTGCAACCATTTGCACCCACAATCTTTCATTCTTTTGTACTCATTACTGTATAATGTGTGGTGTAGATAAGATGATAAACCAACATTCGAACCAACAATTATCTCTATTATACTTTCTAATAATTTAAATTAAAAAAAAAAGACATATGTTATTAGCTGGATGGTGCACGTTGCTTATATGTACTGTATATTATAAATGTATTGTTTATCAATTCTGAGAGTTTAATTTTCTTATGCTCTAATTATTCTATTAGTTTTCAACTAGACTTTTTGAATGAATTTAGATAATTCTATATTCGTGTAAATAAGTGGTTGTGATTAAAGATATTAATTATTATTTTTTATAAAAAAAACAGTTTTTAATTATAAAAGATGACAAAAGGGTAAAAATGCAACTTGCATTATCTATTTAAATCGCAACATTAAAACATATTTAATTTATATAAAGAGAAATATGCGCACTCCTCATTACGGTGCACGATAGCATGGATCGCCGTTGTGAACACTATTAACAGATTAGCACCGTTTACTTTTTCACTTGAATATTTACTTAAACCAAAAAAAAAATTATCGTTTATTTTCCGAAATTCTCGATCGCCGATCGACGGCCAAATCTCGAGCTTTTCTCCGGCGATTCATTCGGGATGCGTGAATCGCCGATTCCCCCCCGACAACTTTCACTGAACTCTAAACCCTGAGTTTCTGTAGTATACCTGTTTGATTCCAAATCTTCTTGGAATTGTTGCTTTTTGTTACCTCGATTTCGACTTTCTTGATCTGGAAGAAGAAGTTGCAGCGATCTAGTTAAAGCTTTGTTTCGATTTTCCCCCAATTATATCAGTAAGATCGCTAGCTCTCTTCTCTGTTTTTCCTTCTTGAAGTTTAGGTATTGTTTTTGTTCACGCCGTTGTTATTGTGGGTTTTCAATTTGAGAAATGAGCAAATCTCGAGTAGAGCTTTTAAGGTAAATCCTCTAAGCAGGGTTTATCGCGATTCATTGAAGAAGAATTTAGCTTAAATCTGACGCTTTGCTTTGTTTTGTTTGGTGAAATTTGTCCAAATGGAGAGAAAATTAAGTTACTTTTACTTGCACTTACTTATCCAAATCTACTTGAATGATTGTGTAAAGTAGCGATTTTTGTCAAAACCGGGACCTGGATTTTGGATTTTATATCCTAGAGATTCTGGATCTCGAATCACCCGGATGATTCTAGTACGTTAGTTAGTGCGGTTTTGTTTCCGAGTAAATGCTGGTCTGAAAATGTTGTACGTGTGACTTCTTTGGTCAGGTTTGGTCAGATATTGGTTTTATTATTGCAGTGTTCTAAAAATATAACGCTATTCTCGTGAATGCTTGCA